ACCTGCTAGTGCTGACAGAGATCAGGCCTGATTCTGTGAACACTGGTTTTGTGCGCAATGTATTACAAGTGACAGTGATCAGAAAATATACTGACGCTGCACTCCTTGTTAGGGGTGGGGGGAGTGTTGGGGCTAAACACTACTGCAGGCAGTGAACGGGGATGATCCTGCTAACACTGCAATTTTGGGGACACCAATACTAAGGGGCACTGGTATAGTTTTGTTCGTGATCAAAAAATTGATCCAGACAAACACTATAATAGTAATGACGGTGATCTGTGATCTATAGCGTGAGTACGATAGTGTATGGGCAATCTAACGCTAACTGACCATAGCTGGGAGCAGCCCTAACTGACCCTCACACCATCTGATGTTGCTAGTGGCACTAATACAGTGATCAATGAAAATTACTGTGCACTGACACTGTACAAATGACACTGGCAGGGGGCAATCAAAGGGTTAAATGTGGCAATCAAGGGGTTAAAATGTCTCTATCTATCATGTGTAGGTGCAGTGTGCTGCTTTTACTCACGTGTGATGTCTTTCTTCTCTCTCTGGAACAAAATGGTTCCAGGGAGAAAAGAACCAGCTAGATCCTGTGCCTGTATTTACAAATACAGGCACAGCTCTGCATCTCCATTCACTGTAGGGTACGTCCCTTTGCCTGCAGCTACTGCCCGTCCTCAGTACATTGTGGGCGGGCGGTCAAGAAGCAGTTAAAGGGACAGTGCTATATTTTTGCTAGTCCACATTTTCTAGTTCTACAGTTCCTTGGGCATCCCATATACCCATGAACCCCATCCAAATTCTTAACCCCTTAATAAAAACAACTAAAAAATAGTTTTTAAAGACTGTTTTACTGACTCTGAATGTGGAAGTGAAGAAAATGCATGTTGCTTGGCCGTGCAAAACTTAGGGGGACCCAATCAAAGCCAGCAGCCCTTACGAGGGTAGTGCTACACTATAAAAGATTAGTAATCATTGCTCCTCTACAGGAAACATAAATGTTACTTGTGTAGCAAAAACATAAACTTACGTTAGTGAAAGATATAAATCGGGATATAGCACTTGTGTATGTCTGTAATGTTACTGTACACATGGAACATTGCTTGCAAAAGTTCTGCATTACAATTACCATGTTGTTTCCATTGCATTCCTCCTTTAATTATTTCATTTCCTTTTAAGTTGTTTAATCATGCTTAAATCTCAAATTACAAACAATGTTCTACAGCTTGTTTCACCCATTTAGGTTTGTGTCAGTTGACTATAAAACAAGCCTATAAAATCTGGAGGTTGTATAGAAATTGTTCCTGTGTGTGTTGTTAACCATTAAAGTTGATTACCAGGATATTCCATACTTTATTCTGATTTAACTTTGGTAACTGAGCTGAAACAAAATCACCTCGGTTGTGAGTGGCTGTAGGGTTATCAGCTGTTCTGTTCTTTATTGAAAGGACATCCCTTATCTTTATGTAGCACTACCCTCGTAAGGGCCACTGGATTTGGTCCCCCTAAGCACTGCACAGCCAGGCGGCACGCATTTCCCATACTTGTACATCCAAAGTCAGTAAACAGTCCATGGGCTTGGGGTTTTTTGTTCTATTAAGGGGTTAAACTTGGATAGGGTAAAGGAGTTATGGGATGCCCAATTTGATTGAAGAAATAGCAGAATGAGGACGATTCCTGCTCTAGCACACTTAGAAAAAAAGACAGACCCTTGACTGTGTTCCAGCCGCAACCATTACAGTGCTTAGTAAAGTAGTCCCTTTCTAGGAGCATGATGTCCCATGAGTGGATTTCTAGTAATGTGACAATGCGTAGGAGCTCTTGATCCCCTTGGTGCACAAAGCATACCAGCCCTCCTGGCAACGGTATCTGATCCCAGGACGAGGGATTGGGTAAGTTATGAGCTGTCCACTGAAGACTTTTCTAGGCCCTGGAGCTGTAGAGATACTCACACTGTCCTTGTCCTGCTGCTGTAGACAGAACTTCTTTCAGGCCTGCTAGCTGGGCTGGTTCCTCTCCAAGCTTCGCAGGCTGTCCTTCCCCACTGTAAGGCAGTGCAGTGGAGCTCCCTCCTTCAGCTTCTCCTCAGCTTCCATCCTGGAAGCTGAATCCTCCCTCGTCTCCCTCTCAGGCCACACAGCAACACCTCTCAGTAATCCATCTTTGGAGCATGCCTCTCTCATATTTATTGGCTTGTCTACTTCATCATTACCAGGGCCTCTTAGCCTGGGATTGGTCAGACTCCCATGAATATGCAGATTGAGGTCTCCACCCTTCTGCCTACTTGCTTCTGAAAGCTTCCATGGACCTCTAGAACCAGGTGGAGGCGATAGAGTCCCAACCTACTGAATCATCCAGCCTGACCTCACAGTGAACCTGCAGAAATTCAGGCTCACTCCCTACCATGAGCCAAAAATAAATGTAACTTTCACTAGCCCCACCTAGATGCACTCTACAGCTTTTCTCAACCTTTATACCCCAGCAAAAATCATTTAAATAAATGTCAGATCTAAAGGAAATCCTGGCAAGATTAGTCCATCAGGGGTCCCCAAGAAAATGCCTCTTGCATTAGAGATGGTAAGTGGGAAGAATGATCCCCTTACCAGGTGGCCAGAATGTTACGCTTGCAGTCATGCTGATGGCTCTGCCAAGTGGGGTTAGAGCTGGAAGTATGCAAGCACCATCAGACAGGAGGTCACAGCTTAAGGAACCTGTAGGCACCCCCTGGAGGAACCCTACGGTTCAACCGAACCCTGGTTAGGAATGGCTGCTCTAGATATACAAAACAAATCTCAGAATCCTAGTTCACCTAAGATTGCTTTGTCCTTTTTGCCATTTTAGAGATCTCTTCAGTACCTCAGAGGTGCTGCATAAAGGTGTTCTGGCTCCAGTGCTATCTTATCCTCACCACTCATCAGGATTCACTTTTATGAACCACACACTATGGAACTCATAGATCTTTCTCAGGCAGCAAGCCCATGCTGAACCCTCTGCAACATATATAGCTTTTTTTTAAGATTGGAGAATGTGTGTCTACAATATCAGACTTAGGACTTAAGGTTTAAAGGTTTCTTGTCTGAGATACTCATGTTGTACATCCCAGGGTGCTTGGGGGCAATCTACTGAAGGTGAACATTAGAGATGTGCATGACGAAAAAATTTGCTGAGTTTTGGATTAATTTGTTAACCACTAGGGGACCACCCGCAGTACATATACTGCCCCTGTGCGCAGGATCACATATATAAACATGATCCTGCATTCTGGGGTAGGGGGGGCGCGCGACGACCGCGCTGCCCGCAGCACTGTTCGTGGGTCCTGGCCGGTGATTACCTGCCGGAGCCCGGCGATTGCTGGCATACACTGATGGGGAGGAAGGCTGAATTGTTTTCAATGGAGCTCTCCTCCCTGTCAGCTTTCAGCACACTGTTCCGGGATCGCTGAGGTACACCCCCCCGCCCCAAGTAAAACACTCCCCTCACACAGTTAACCCTTTGATTGTCTCCAAAAGTTAACTCCTTCCTCCCCAGTGCCATTATTACAATGTCAATGTTTTTTTTCGCACTGATCACTGTATTGGTGTCACTGGGGATGTCAGTGACCCCAAGTCAGTTCCCCCCCAGTGTCAGAATGTCCGCCGCAGTCCCGCCATACGTCGCTGATCGCCACCATAAGTTGCTGATTGCCACTATTATTAGTATAAAAAAAATCCAGTATCTATACCGCGATTTGTAAATGCTGTAACTTTGACGTAAACCAATTAATTTTTTTTAGCAAACAAATGTTGCAGAATACATTTTGGCATAAATTAATGATGAAATTTGATTTTTAATTTTTTTTTACTGGACATGTTTTATAGCAAAATGTCCAAAATATGTTTTTTTTTTCAAAATTGTCGTATTTTTTTTTTATAGCGCAAAAAAATTAAAAACGCACAGGTGATCAAATACCACCAAAAGAAAGCCCAATTCGTGGGAAAAAAGGGTGTAAATTTCATTTTGGTGCAGTGTTGCATGACTGCGCAATTGTCAGTTAAATTAATGCAGCTCCATAACACAAACCGCTTCCTGACCGCCCTATAGCAGAAATACTGCTACATGGCGGCACAGGTGCACAAAATCACATTTATATACGTGATTTGCGCTCCCGTTGTTTTCACGCCCCTCCCAGATGGCGTCAGATTGCCCCTCAGTACACTAGTCATCACATTTAACCCCTTGATTGCCAGAAACACGCTCATACACAACAAACCTCCATTGCTAGTATAGTGTCTGAACGGATCAATATCTACTTTCATCAGATCAGCACTATACCAGCGTTCACATTAGTTTAGTGTCCCCAAAAATGCAGCATTAGCGGGATCAGCCCCTGCACCTGCCAGCACCTGCATTTAGCCCCTACTCTTACCCTCCCTTCTCCCCCAGCAAGTGCAGTGCCAGTAGGTCACTGTCACTTGATACATTGCACACAAAACTGCAGTGTTGGCAGAATCAGGCCTGATCTCTGTTAGCACTTGCCGGTAAATTTTTATGACTCTCATTTGCAGCAGAGTGCCAGTACTAGTGCCACGCTACCTTTTGTTGAACTGGCGAGCTCCAGCGGTCTAGTACATCTTGGTCTTTCACATACTTCTTAGATTGTAAGTGCCCAGGATCAGGGCCCTCCTAACCCTCTTGTATTGAACTATATTGTTGCTGTATTGTCTCCCGTTATATTGTAAAGCGCTGAGCAAACTGTTGGCACTATATAAATCCTTTATTATTATAATAATAATAATAATAATACCAGCACTGCAGTATGACTTGTAGCACAAGTGACATTTTTGTATGTAGCTGCGCCAATAAATGTGTTTACGTTCATATCTGCATGTATGTGCGGGCAGGGAAGGCTAACATACACTATATATCCAAAAGTAATGGGACACCCTCCAAATCATTGGATTCAGGTATTCTAATCACCTCCATGGCCACAGGTGTATAAAATCAAGCACCTAGGCATGCAGACTGCTTCTAAAAACATTTGTGAAAGAATGGGTCGCTTTCAGGAGCTCAGTGAATTCAAGTGTGGTACCGTCATAGGTTGCCACCTGCGCAATAAGATCATCTGTGAAATTTCCTTGTTACTAAATATTCCACAGTCAACTGTTAGTGGTATTATAACAAACTGGAAGCAACAGGGAACAACAACAACTCAGCCGCAAAGTGGTAGGCCACATTAAATGACAGAGAGGGGTCAGTGCATGCTGAAGCACACAGTGTGCAGAAGTCGCCAACTGTCTGCAGAGTCAATAGCTAAAGACCTCTAAACTTCATGTGGCCTTCAGATTAGCACAACAACAGTGCGTAGAGAGCTTCATGGAATGGGTTCAATGGCCAAGCAGCTGCATCCAAGCCTTACATCACCAAGTGCAATGCAAAGCGTCAGATACAGTGGTGTAAAGCACGCCACCACTGGACTCTAGAGCACTGGAGGATTGTGCTCTTGAGTGACGAATCATGCTTCTCTATCAGTGCCTGACCTCACAAATGTGCTTCTGGAAGAATGGTCAAACATTCCTATAGACACTCTTCTAAAGCTTGTGGACAGCCTTCCCAGAAGAGTTGAAGCTGTTATAGATGCAAAGGGTGGGCCAACTCAGTATTGAACCCTACAGACTAAGACTGGGATACCATTGCAGTTCATGTGCATGTAATGGCAAGCATCCCAATACTTTTGGTAATATACTGTAGTGTATTTTGGGTGGGAGTTTTTAAGTACTTGGGTGTAACTTTATTTTTTTTGACACTTCATTTTTTCAATAGAGCTTTATTTTGTATCACAAAGGAGGCCAGAAGTTCCCTTTGTGAAATAAAGTCTTTGTGACAGGATCTGTTTAATGTCTGTTAGACCCCTGATGTCTCATCTGCCTTTCTTTGAAGCTAATGGAGCATAGATCATGCTAAATTTTTATGACTCTCATTTGCAGCAGAGTGCCAGTACTAGTGCCACGCTACCTTTTGTTGAACTGGCGAGCTCCAGCGGTCTAGTACATCTTGGTCTTTCACATACTTCTTAGATTGTAAGTGCCCAGGATCAGGGCCCTCCTAACCCTCTTGTATTGAACTATATTGTTGCTGTATTGTCTCCCGTTATATTGTAAAGCGCTGAGCAAACTGTTGGCACTATATAAATCCTTTATTATTATAATAATAATAATAATAATACCAGCACTGCAGTATGACTTGTAGCACAAGTGACATTTTTGTATGTAGCTGCGCCAATAAATGTGTTTACGTTCATATCTGCATGTATGTGCGGGCAGGGAAGGCTAACATACACTATATATCCAAAAGTAATGGGACACCCTCCAAATCATTGGATTCAGGTATTCTAATCACCTCCATGGCCACAGGTGTATAAAATCAAGCACCTAGGCATGCAGACTGCTTCTAAAAACATTTGTGAAAGAATGGGTCGCTTTCAGGAGCTCAGTGAATTCAAGTGTGGTACCGTCATAGATGTGTAGAATTTTGGACAAATTTCTTAGGAAAAGAATGTTCTAAGATAATTCATTTTTCTAATCATTAGTGGGTCAAATCAATGTTTGTTTTTTAACACAATGACAAGAAAATTTTAAGGTTCAGGATGGAAAATGTTTCTCAAACAAATTAATGTCTTAGTCCTCTTGCACACTGCTGCCAAAAGTAGTGTTTTTAGGCATACAGGTGTTTTTTTTTTTTACTGATCTAAATGCAACCGATTGTTTTCAATGTAACTGTACACGTATTCATGTAAATGTGTGCTGAGTATAGATTACTTAAAAAAAGCGCAGAAATCTAAGTTGCTGGTCAGTATTTTATGTGCATACGCTCACATGTGTGCAAATACGCACTTACGCTTTTAAAATGTTAATTTGAAGGGGACAGAATTTATTTTATTTGTGTATGCATGTATGTGCAAATACATGCACAAATACGCACAAAATAAAGACCTGAAATTTCAGCCAGGAATGCTGATGTTCAAACACCAGTAAACATCAGTACAGTGTGCAAGTCCCACAATAGTAAGGGTTGCTAACTTCAGTAAATTTATGGACAGTTTGTAAAAATCACTGATTTTTACAACTGCCTGTAACAATCTGGGGCTGATAATTTGTCATGCTGTATTGTCTTTTGTACTTGTAAACCAGTCAAATTACTTGTTATGGGTATTGTCAGTGTTTCCATATTCTGTTTATACAGTTTAAATATTGATTATCTTAGTTAATTATCTTAGTTGATTATCTTAGTGCTTCGGGAGCTTGGCAACACTGCCAACAGTGTATGCGGTTTTCAGCCATTCGTTCCAAATTCAAATATTAAAAGCAATCATATTCTTTTGAAAGACATTCAAATATTCTGAGAACCTTTGTATGATCTTTCCTAAGAATTTTCATTCAAAATCCTATCTATCTATGGCCAGCCTAGCCAACAAGGACTGTAATGCAGCTTTATTTTTCTATTCCTGGTGGAGTTGCTGAGCCAAAAGGGGTATGTAGCTTAAAGTGGAAATTCTGCTTTTCCTCCTCTCCCATTTGTAGCACTACCCCCTTAGGAGTTGCTGAGTTTTGAGTCCCCCTATAGTCCTGCACAGCCAGGCAACACTCATTTTCTTCAGACCTTGCACACTGGAGACAGTAAACAATCCTTGAGCTTGTTGTTTTTTTTTTTGTTCTGTTTTTTTTTTATCATTATGGGTATTGAACATGGATAGGGTTGAGAGGTGTATGGAATGCCCAAGGAAACTGCAACATGAGGACAACTCCTTAGCAACTATGTACAAGTCCACAGACAAAGATTCTTTTCTTGGAAAGCTCTCCAGCCCTCCTGGCATATCACCTCAGACCCCAGATGAAATCTCTTCTTCACCCAGCTGCCTGAGGGAAGCCTTGAGCAAGGGGACCCAGAAACTGCCACTTTAAATCAAGAGTCCCAGATGGGGACCAGTCAGGTTTCCCTCTCCACCTTATCAGGCCCAGGGTGTGTGGGTTTACTCACTCTCCTCTCCTGCAAGCCTGTGGGTTTGTATCTTCAGGCCTTACACTGGGCTGGCTCCTTCCCTGCTTCCCAAGCTGTCCTCTGCTGGGCCCCCTCCCAGGCTCCACACTCCAGCCTTCACTCATTCTTCCACCCATTGCCACTCGCCCTGCTGAGCAGGCTCAATCCTATTTAAGGGCTGTCCAGGCCCCATACCAAGCATCCTGCTCGGGCATTGGCTAAGATCCCTTAACTTTGCAGATCAGCCCCTCCTCACCCCCACCCACTGCCTTCTAGAAACTTTTCAAGTTTCTTGAGCAGGGGGAGGTATCAGGGAACTGACCTGCAGAGCCCTCAGCCCTGACCCAAAATAACCTGGCTGACTCATACCCAGGCTGACTCATTCCAGGCTGCTAATTGATTTCTATCTAAAAAAAAAACTAGCTTCCCCTAGCTAACTAGAGGGGGGCTACACATATTTAATTTTTTTTGGGGGGGAGAAGGTACCTGATTTTGACAGGTACACGCTTCCACTTCTGCTCCAACCACCTAGGTGATCGAAGATGAAGTTAACCCCCCCCTTCTCCACCCTGGAGAATGCAGGACCATTCACAGGGCGCACCACAGCTTGTGCTTGTGCAGGGGGCAGACAGCTGTGCGGCTGCAAGGAGTCACAGTTGCTGCCCACGGTTAAGCTGCCGGAGCCTGGGCCCAAAGGTAGGGCAAAAAGCTAAGTCTTTGTGTGTCATCAAAACTCATATTCCTAGGGAAGACGCATCAAAGACAAACAACACATCAAAAACTAGGATAACAAAGTCCACATTACCCCTGCATGCGGCCCCTTATCAGAGAGGGCAGACAGAGGAAGGGACATCATACAGCTAGGATATCACCAAAAATCAGAATAAACTCAGATACATAGAGATATCAAAAGCTCGGTGCTCCCTAACAGATGCATGAAAAGATGAGGATGTACAGGATTCTTGAAATATTGATTATATGTATCCTGGCATAAAAGAAGACCCACAGAAGACACAGGGAAACAGAAGAGAGAGACTAAAGCAGGAAAAGACTAGCTAGCAAAGAAACACGACTAGTAGAGGGGTTAAAAAAATTGGAGTTGGGCAAAATCCCTTCGAGGGGAAATTAAAAAAGTAAAAAAGGGGAGGGAGGGAACAAAGATCAGGTGAATGTTTTATACAGGCCCCTATACCGAGGGCACTGTACTCTGATGTATTATGGAAGACTAACATATAGAACCAGGTTTTATAGAACCATTCTGCTTGGTTCACTCCTCCCATCAGATCCTCCATTGTTCTGACTTCATTGAACTTCATTGAACTTACTTATCCACAAACCAATTGGAGGGGCTGAAGTCTATTCAGCAAAGTGGAATGCACACTTTTGAACATTGATGAGATGTATTCGTGACTTCTTATACCACTTGAAATGCATTGGTGTCAAGTGGAGAAGGAAGGCAGCTGGGTCACCTCCCAACTGAACATCAGTCAGTTGAAAGATAATATTTTGGATTTTGTTCCCAAACTCTCGAATGACAGGGCAATCCCAAAAAACATGTGGTAATGACCCTTCGTGCCATTGGCATCTCCAGAGAAGGTGTAAGCAGTGTTGGAACATTTTATGTAAACCTTTCCTAACCCGATACCAGCGAGTTAGCAGTTTATAACACAATTAGAGATGAGTGAATTATTCAAAAATTCGATTCGGCTGATTCGCCAAATTTGAGGAAGAAATTAGATTCGATGCGAATTTATTAAGGGTTTCTAGGCTTCAGAGAGCCTTTATATTAGTGCAGAACACTGTACCTTTAATTTAAATGCCCTTGGAGATGAGGAAGGAGAAGGAGAAGGAGAAGGATGAGGAGAAGGAGAAGGATGAGAAGAAGGAGAAGGATGAGAAGAAGGAGAAGGATGAGAAAGGGAGAAGGAGAAGGATGAGAAGAAGGAGAAGGATGAGAAGAAGGAGAAGGATGAGAAGAAGGAGAAGGATGAGAAGAAGGAGAAGGATGAGAAAGAAGAAGGATGAGAAGAAGGAGAAGGATGAGAAGAAGAAGAAGGATGAGAAGAAGGAGAAGGATGAGAAGAAGGAAGGAGAGAAGAAGGAGAAGGATGAGAAGAAGGAAGGATGAGAAGAAGGAGAATTCCAAGCCGGCAAAAAGTGTATCTGCAGAGCTCCGCTATTTCTTAGCGGAGCTCTGCAGATACACTTAGCGGAGCTCTGCAGATACACTTTTTGCCGGCTTGGAATTCTTCTTATTTTCATCCTACTTCTTCTTCTTCTTCATCCTATCCTCATCCTCAGAAGAAGAAGAAGAGGATGAGGATGAAGAAGAAGAAGAAGAAAGAAGTAGGATGAAAATAA